AAGGAAATTCAAAAAAGCTGAACAGAGCTTGATATCAATGGTCTCAAAAGGCAAGCTTCAATTGAAGAAAAAGAATTTACTGCTGAAGAAACAAAACCGCTACCAAAGTCCCAGTAGAATATTCTCTTTTAAAATCCCTTCATTGATCAGTCCTCTAATAAGAATGTCGAGTAGAATACATAGTTCACCAGAAAATAAGCGAAGAACAAAAAGCATCCTATCATTTTTAGACGGCAAAAAAGTCATACGGCTAAAACTAATCGTAAAAAAATGTTTCACGAGAAATGTTTTCCATCAGGGCATCGAGGACTGTTTATCAATATGGACTAGACAACAGTTTCTGGATCTTAAAACGTACGATCAGTCGCCAAGAAAGTTTCAAAGGGACCTGCATTGAGGTGTAGCATAGGACAATGCCAAAACCGTATCCTCCTCAGATGGCTGCACTACCACAGTTTAAGGACCTCAAAAAGTGCAACATCCATTTCTTCTACACTGGAGTGGATTATTTCGGACCTATCGAAGTTACTGTTGGCCGCAGACATGAAAAAAAAGATATGGTGTCCCTATTTACCTGTTTTACCGACTCGAGCAATTCACATCGAAAAACGGCTCATTCTCTTAAACACAGAGAGTTTGGATAATGGCGGATTCAACGATTCATCAGCCGAAAGACCCAGTTCCCTCAGAAACTATATTCCGACAATGGCACAAAACTTTGTAGCTGCAGATAGGGAACTTAGAAAACGCTGTAAAGTCACTCAAACATGAAAAAGATCCAAAAAAGACGTGGGTGAACTACGGGATAAAAGTGGAATTTTCATTTGCCCGCGAGCACCACATATGGGAGGGCTGCTGGGAAAAGGACTTGTTTAGGGTCTGTAAAAGGACCGCATTAAGGAGTGTTTTATGCGCTGCCAGTACCCAAAAGACGAAGAGCTTCAGACTTTCATGGTTCGCGTTGAATTTATAATAAATTCTCGCCCACTCACTCATGTTTCTCTGGATCCCAATGACCCCGAACCAATCACACCAAACCATTTTCTAAGAGAAGCTTACAAAATCAACCTAAACGAAGACCAACTGTGTAAACGACAATTAGCTCGTGTTAGATCACTCCTAGACAGCTTCTGGAAGAGATGGGTGCACGAGTACCTTCCATGCCTTTCAAGACGGTGCAAATGGCACAAGAAATTGGACCCACCAAAGATTGACGATCTTGCAATAATAATTGAGGAAAACTGCCCAAGAAAATACATGGCCCCCTTGGCCGAATCTCGGCTGTCTACCCAGGTCACGATGGCCAAGTACGAATAGTAGACATCACAACATCAAAAGGAACTTATCGCCGGCCTCTGACTAAAGTTGCAGTCCTTACCGTTGGAGGGGAAAAAGATGTAATATGTTAACACATTGATTTGTGTTCTTTAATATGTTTAATTTATGCCTGCCTTATTTCTTTATTCTAATAGAAACTAACACATGTTTTATTATTATTATGATTGTAAATAATGTCCAAATATAATACACATCTCTTTTTTGTCAAGTCTAAAAGTCTTGTCTGTCTTTAATATTTTTTTACATTTATGGTTTATTGTTTAAATAATTGTATTTAAAACAGATAGTTAATCCAGTTAGGATTATCAGTTGCCACGCGCTTACATACAGATATGAGCATCCTGTTGTTGTCCCCGAATAGACCGACCAATAGGTGAATTGTTTATTTCAAGGATTTACCAAATATGACAATATAGATTATGGCGAAACTAGGAGAGGAGATTTTTGCAGCTGGTGGGTTTTAGCTGAAGAAGAGTTCATTCTCTTCCATAGACTCCTGCTGGCAGCACTTACCTTCTGAGTTGTGTTGTATGTAGTCCCTCGGGTTACTTTCTAAATTACTTCTAAATTTCTAACTAAAAACTAAATTTAGGACATACTTGCAAACTTTTTCCGAATATCAGAGTGCTCACTCAGCCATTATGCTGTTGGTTCATTTTAGGGTAAAAATATTATAAGCATTATTGTAATATTGTGAAAATAATAATTATTCAAATTTAAACTAAGTATGAGGACAAAGCTTGTGTGTAATAAAGCATAGTATTGATATTTAATTGTTGTTCACCATTGCTCACCATCAAGGCGCACGAACATTTGGTGTCAGAAGGGGGATATTCGAGATTGGTTAGTCCTATGTTAATGTTCTTTGTGATTATCAATTTCCAATGGATTTTTTAAAATCACAATAGTGATTTATGAAATAGGGTATTGTGTTAAGTTGTTTTTTCTCTGACTAGTAAATCTGGGATCAAAATTAAACATAGTAATGAATCTAAAGAACTATATTTTATGGAAAAAACGCTCTTTTGGTCAACCACCTAATTCAGGTAATGGAACAGTAACAAGAGATAATAGTATAGTAAGTCAGAATAGTTTACAAAAATTGGCACTCGAATAGCGGTCATTACTGCTCATTTAGTACATACACCCAGTAAGTTCTAGACAAATGGAAGTAAAATTAAAGCAGGTTTCATTGGGGGGGCCACCAGTTGACCGACAAGATACTTGGTCGTCTGGCCACTAGACCGTCTTTTTTAATTAAATAGATAAATACTGAAAACCAGTACGTCGACAAGTCATTTCGTCGTCAGTCCAGTTGACCGGCCTGTAAAACTAAATTATTATATGCGATAAACAAACTGTTCGTCAATCGACCCGGCCGACATACAACTTGCTCGTCTTTTAGGTGGGGATATGTCGAGCGGCAGCGCCAGCAGCGCACGCAGCTGTGGAGGGAGCTGCAGGCGTACCAACTTCAGTTTCTTGTAATGGCGGTTTTTATTCCGACGATTTTCAGCTATCACAATGCAGCGGACTAGCGAGGTTTTTTATTACGTGTAATTGTTTGTTTCTCAATCGATATTTTTTATATACAGTACAGTGAATATAAATAGCCATACATTAATTTACTTCAATTAAATAAATGTTTTATTTAGCTACTACATTTAAATGATTGAATAATTACATGAAACCTATTTATAATAACTTACTTCGAAAATTTCATTACAGGTAAGAAAGTGGTGTCAATATGATAGTTAAATTAGAACTCTCCGCGAATTCTATAATTGAAACTCACTACTGTACTTCACTACCACTACCTTAAACTCGTTTGCAAATAGTGGTTTCAACGATTGTAATCTCTCAAGCAATGTTCGGTATTCTAGCCATGACCCTGATTGAGGAGAATATATCCTGTATATTATAGCATTTGGAAACAGAATAAATAAACATTGTTATTATCTTTTTTTTTAATAGCGCAGTTATGGCTGGAAATATCATTTTAATTGATTTGACAGTAGTAAACCTCGTTAGACCTGTATTTTAGTAAAAATTTAAAATAACTCAAACATCTCTCTTCAATAATATATCATCTTGATTTTAAGTTAAAGAGCTTCAGACATTTTCGGGGATAGCCAAATACTATAATAAAAGTAGGCCTACATTTCAGTAGAAAGAATCCACTTTCTATTTTACTCAAACGCGTCATCGTCCTCATGGGCTGGAAGGGCCATAAATCAGGGCATTAGATTTAACAATGCTTCTTTCAGTTTTTTGCGTGTTTTCGAATAGGGCAAATTGGAGTCATTATAGTACAGATGTCAACTAATTTATGCTTGTACTGTTAGATCCAAAAATGATATACGTGCTGTGGCGATAGGTCGATAGTCCCATTCAGTTAAAGCTTAAGTCAGTTTTAAAAACGTCTGCTGTGTATATGTCTTTGACCTAATCTATTGGCTTTTGACTAACAATCCTTAGTCACTAACAAAACTACAAGATCGTGCCACTCATCCTTTATTCATATTTGGATTAAATATGCACATAGTGGCGTTCCCATCTTAAATAATAGCTAATAATAGATAATTTATAATCGACGTATTGAACAGTTCCTACGAAAAAATATATTTTGATTAACAATCTATTTTGCTGTCTCAATATGTAGAAATCGCATTAGGTCAAAAGTATAGTATGTTCAAAACAACGACAGTTCTCTCGACGCATGATTTCAATAATTTTTTGTTTTGACGCACTTAAAATCGTACTAGAATTTTAATTGGCAGATTTTTGGTAAGTACTACTTGATGATTTTTTGGTTGGAATTTAAAACAAGCTATCAATTTTATTAACACAATTTGATGATATTTATAGAAAAATTAGTTTAAAATCGTGATTTGTGACATACAAATTTGGCGTGCTACTAAGTTTTTTTACATTTTTGGTCAGAGAGGTTTCGCCTATGGCAAAGTTGTAACCAATAGTTTTATGCGTAAGTTAGGCTAATTTTTTTTAAATTTTTACAAGCAGTGGTTCTGTAGATGGCTTGGGTTGAAGAAGGAGGGAAATTAAAAACATTTCGCAACGTTTGAAAAAACCATATCGTACGCGCGCCGTATGGAGTGATGTTTAATGTACTAAAGACAAGATAAAAATTAATTTTCACCACACTATGAGGCTTTAGCTGTTTTGCATACGTCAATTGGTGTCTGAAAGTTACATTTTGCTGGCCATCCCAGTTGTCATCGTCGTTTGGGGACCGAGCAGGTTTTTACATCCCTAGGACCGCAAAATCAGCTGTCCGCTTACTTTCTTAAAACATTAATGCATATGAAATACACAATTGAATTGTTTTACTGTCACCGCTGCCTAGCAACCATCTATTATATTATTAAAGGGATACAATCAAATTTTATGTAAACGGTTAAGGCCATTTACAAAATAAAAATATAGGCATATGGCATATCAAAATGAAGCTCAGAGTGTGTAGATTTGCCGAAAAGTATTGATATGGACGAACTCCCTAAGGGCTCTGCCCCACAGGCTGATTTCCAAAAGGCTACGCCTTGCATGTTTTGGAAGTTATTATTTGATATTAATTTAGTGAACAACAGCTGGACAATGCAATTGACAATATAGTTTGTTTGTTTACATTTTTGTTTACTTATTTTATTATTTACTTTAATGTTCTTAAAATAGGTGCGGTGAATGGACAGTAAAGCTATTTATAGCTGCGTTTGTTACAAGTGAGTAACTAAAGGTGTTCGAAACATGATGACTATGAGATTAACAAACCATGTATGTTGTTCGTTCCTAGAGGTTGTCACCGATCTTTAACAGATCGAAATTTCATTGAAAAGTATTAAAGTAAAGTATTAAAGACGTCGTGAAAGAGAGCTGCGTGTTCAGGTACAACCAGCTGTCGGCCAACCTTAGGACGTAAGGTATGAAGGTTCCACTGCTTTTAACATCCTTTCAGATGACAATTTCCCGAACTTGGGCCCTTTAAATGAAAAATAAAGTCAAAGTTGATTAAATTAATTTAATGGTGGTTTCTATTCACCCGTGAATTCGGGGGTAGAACCTCTTGTTTATTATTATTTTTGCTGATTCCTCAGATTATTTCTTCACATAACCTTAAAGTCGGAATTCAGTTGACTATCAGTGTACATTATTATTGTAGTGGATATTGGTAATAGGGTATAGTGTGGTGAAAAAGGTAGCGTTCGTACCCCGGACCGAAATGGTTTTGCAGCTCTCGATTTCTTTTCGACTTTGTCTCGAACTTATCAACTATCTCGAGCCGGCAAAACCTCATTTGCGGCCCTAGGTACGAAATATACTATTAATATTACCAGTACATTTCAATTATTTATAAAACATCTGCTAGTATTACCAACCAGCTTAAATTGTTTACAAAAATTAATAACAAAACTTTATTTCTCTATCAATGAATTTGTACATTGCAAAAATTATGTTTTAGCTTATGTTTTGGAAATTAACAGCAGCATAAAACAAGTTACAAACAAAAAGTTACAGATGTGAGCGAATCACTTCTACGTCGACTGTCCGTTTTTATGGAGTTGTCCGTCTTTGTAGGCAGACTCCATCTAGACGGCTGGAGCAATCATTTTCTATTTTGTTTATAGTAACTGTGCCATGAATTATTAATCCTTTCTAGATTCATTATAGCTCTTATTTATCTCATGAATACAATTTTCAAGTATGTTTATGTCCGGTGTGTTTGTGGAGTGCATTTGGATGTTTTCCTCTTTATTGTCATTTAACCCACTTTAAAACGATATAACCTAACAAAATTATCTAATTGGAAAATATTGTTTGCAAGTTTTATTTAAAGTCGCTAAATAATACCAGCAAACAATATTTTCCAATACCGTGGAATAAAAAGTGAGATGTAAAATGTTTCTGTCCAAAGGGGGCTTTAGCCGAGATGAGAGCACCGATATATAACTACTACGATCAGT